CGTTGCTCTTCATAGCGATTTTTTACGGTCTTTTTTTTTAACCCTCTGACGCTAAAAATCTAAAAAATAATCATTTTTGATTTGTAACCCCTCTTTTTTTACGTATTTTAACTACTATTCAGTCATTCAATCATTATAATGAAATTTTGCATTAAATTTCATTCCACGGTTTTGGCGAACCCTTCGAAGATTTCCATTTGCTGTTTCTCCAGTCACTGAGAATTGACGATTAATGGAAAGGAAACACACAGCATTCGCCATCAGAATGAATGAAATTTTAAAAAATCTGATAGAACGACGAAACAATTTCTGAATAAGCTTAAAAAAAAGAAATTTTTTTAATCATTAACTTTTTTTCTTTTCTTTTATTAGGTTTTATATAATTTTTAAATCTAAGTCTCGTGTTCACTCCTTTTTTCGTTTCTTACACCCGTCTTTTGCAACAACTTTTTTCCTGAATATAGCTCTGTCAAATTTCTTTATTTCATAGATCATATCTGCAAGAAAAAAAATTTGTTTTTGTAAATTTCAACTTGTACTTCGTTTGTTTTTAGAAAACAATCACCCGATTTTTAGTAAAAAAAAAATAGGATTTTTGATTTGAAATTAGGATTTTTGATTTGAAAATTTTTTGATAATTTTTATTTAAAATTAGAAGCATAAATATTGTTTCCAGTTTAGCAAATATAGCAGCCAGTAACTTGCAGCAAACTAGCTGAAAAAAATGACGACAGGGAATTTACTAGTAGAAAACATGGAATATCAGTCGTAAAATCACACCTGGTGATTGAAGTCAACAGGCCTGTAAGATGAGCACAATACTATGAATTTTAGTCGAAATATCGATATTTTTTTTTTTGATAAATACGTCAGTTTTTTACAACAATTGACAACGGTGAGCGTATATCATCAAATATCTGATAACCAACCTGACGTTGTTGTTTCACATAACGGTTATGCTTTGAATGGACAAACGATAATTTAGAACAAATTTATGCAGTGTTTTTTTTTCCTACTGTTGTCATAATTTGAAGGAAAGAGTGGTTTCTGCATGAGCAAGTCAGAAAAAAGTTGTAAAAAGGTCAAATTTGTTGTTTTAATCAGCTGCTGAGTACGTTTCCAAATAAATTAGTTTGCAAAAGAAAATTGAGCTAAACATGAACTTTACAGTTTATGTTTCCTTGTTTAGACCATAACTTGCCTAGTAGATTATGACCAATTAAGAGCAAATCAAAATTAAGCATAGTTACAATTTTATTTCTCAAACATTCTTTAAGAAACAAAAAATCACTTGAAGAAAATAAATTAATTTAATTTGGTTTCTTAACGTTACCTGTAACGCTACCTGTCAGCAAAGAACTTTACGGATTAAAAGCTCAAAAATAAAAAATTGAAGAAAAGGTCAAATAGTTTTGACGATAAGTTGGAACAAAAATCAGTAAGCGAAAAAAAAATACTATTATTACAGCTGTACAAATCAGTCAAGATATTGACGTTATAGTTTAAAGTATTTGACTTGTCAAGTATAGTCTTGTTGATACACTTAGGAGCACTTTATCATCTTTTATGCTGGTACTGTAGTATGTTTTAAGATCATAAATGAGCTTGTTTCAGTGGTCTGATTGGATAACATTTGTTTGATGCAAAATTCACAGTTTTATATATTTTCTGATGATAACAAAAAAGATAAAAACTGATGAAAGTTAGCAATGGTTGATTAGTTTTGTCAAAAATTGATAAGGATAAGTTTAAAAAACACCTGAAACTGCATATAGTGCTTATGTGCAATGAACACCGTATACTCATTGATGACAACGTCAAAATTTAAGCTCTTGAACCAAATAAATTAAGCATTGAGCAAATTTGGTCATTCAATTACAGTCAGATCGACAGTATTTTTCAGTGATCTCAAAAATGTTACCAATTTATTGTTTCCACAATACTATAAAAAGCTTCATTTGAATAAATATATATACTAAAAATATATATGTTTAAACTACGATAATGTTGACAACACTTTTTTTATTATAATAATTATGGTAATTTTTTATTCAATAGCAATAAATATCAACTATAATTACTTGCGGCTCTAAAATTTTTATTACGGCTATTTAATAAAAAAAAAAAAGTTAAAAGAAAAAGGTAGGTTTGTAAAACTGATTTAGCAGTAAAATGTTACTTTTTTTTTTTTTTTTTTGTTATCAGAAAGTTTTAGCAATGTAGTGAATTAATGACGAACGATGAAACCATCATTAAAAGACTAATTGATTGAACTAAACCAATTATCAAAAAAAGTGAGTGTTGTTAATGTAATGTTCTCATCAAAACATTAGTGTAATTAAATTGATTATGGTTCAGTGAAGAAATAAAAAATAGTTTTTGATTTCAAAATTTTTTTTTCTACAAAAATAATACTTTCTAAAACACGTTTACCAATTTTACAACTTTTTTTTTTTTTT